GAGGGACGTACGGGTCTTTATGGTGTCGATGGGCGCGTTCGAGAACGGGCCCATCGCGCCCGAGACGAGGCCGATGGCCATGTGCTGCCAGCTGGGGAGGTCCTGGCGGTCGGGCTGGAGCCTGCTCGCGAGGCGCTTGAGCTCCTGGTACGCGGTGAAGTTCGCGCCCTGGTTCGTCGCCTGGCGGAGCGCGGTGAGCGTCACGCCGCGATAGAGCGCGCGCACGCCCTCCTCGCGCACGATCGCGTACACGGCGTGCCCCGCGTTGCGGTACCGCGGCGCCTCGAGCGGGTCCGCGAGCGAGTGCTGCTGCGCCTGCAGACGGATCTTCACGACCTCCATCGGCGTCACGACCAGCACGGCTTCTGTCACGCCCGCCCCGAGCCCGGCTGCGGTCGAGGAAAAAAGAAAACAGAGGTGTCGCGGTAAGGATATTGGCGTGGAACTTGGAAGATGGGGTGGAGGGGGGGGGGGGAGACGCACCGAGGAAGATGTTCCCGACGCTCGTTTGGCCGGTTTCCTTGTCCGCGAGCCACGCCTTGTACTTCTCGAAGCTCGCGAACCGGATGGCCATCTTGGGGATGATGCCCGAGAGCACCGCGCCGAGGCCCTTGTACAGCGCGAGCGGCGTCTCGCGCCTTACGATCATGGCGCCCGTCGCGAGGAAGCCTCGCGGTTTTGTCTGCGTGGCACGATGCGGTCAGCGTTGAACGGTGTGTGTGGGGGAAGACGTTTCGGAGCAGGGCGGACAGGGCGCAGACGTTCGTGATGAATCTCGGGATCCAGAGGTCTTGCAGACGCGTTCAGAGATGCGAAGCACTTTCATGTTCGAGTGACAAGCTGAAGGTATTCGACTCAATGCGCATCGCGTCCCAAGGACAGAGCATGGCCGCAGCGCAAGGCGCGCCCTCGCGCTGCCCGAGAGCGTCGCGTGACGTCATAGATTGCACGCGAGCGTACCGCCGTAGCTCGCACAGAGAGCTACGGTGCTCGTACGCACAGAGCAAGTGCGGTGTCACAAGCTGGGTTGATATGCCTCTAACGTTTGCGCTGCAAGAAGCGGGGGCACTTATCCAGCCAAACTGGCATGTGCGGCTGCACGACCCTGCGAGGAGGCGAGCGGACTGGGACTTACCCCTGGTGCACGTCCAGATCTGGACAGCTGCATTCGGACCTTGATAGTGTCGAGAGGATGGCAACATAGCTGCGAGGATGCGTGAGGTGAGTACTGAGTGGGCGGTGGACAGACAGACGGTGAACTGACCGCTTCCATGGCGCCTGCAATGCCTCCTGCGGTCAGTTGGGTGGCGATGCCTACTGGCTTCTTGTCCGAGGATCGCGATGCCATGTTTGTTCAGCTGGCGACGGGGAGGTTTCTGAATAACGGTGGTGTGTATGTGGATGCGATGCGGTGATGGGACCGGAGGGATTTGAGCTGGGGCTGAGAGTGGGGGTCGGGTCGAGCTCCTGTGGCATTCCGAGTGGCCTAGGACGTACCTCTGGACTAAGCGTGATATTGTAAGGAGGACGTCGAGAGCTGTGGTGTGCTGCGTTGGATGTGGGCGGTGTCGGGCCCAGGGGCGAGGTATCAAGCGGGGGCGAGGGAAGGAAGGAAGCAGGGGAAGAGCGGGGGACGGGGAGGAGGGGCGGGGCCATATTTGAGAGGGGCTGGAATTGAGCGTGACGGAGTGGATGAGTCTAGGGGAAGGGCAGGGGCAGGTGGAGGAAGGGGATCGCGCGCGGGCGGGCGGGACAAGCCAGCACTGTGCAGTAGCAGCCCGTCGGACAACGCACTCGGACGCGGACTCGGACTCGACACCTCGCACGTGAATTCCGCCCAGACACACCTCGCGTCTTTCCGCCTTTTCCGGACGCGCGCGTCTCAGCCCTCCGCTCGCGTTCCGCCTCCAGTCCGCCACTCGCCTTCCCCGCTCTCCCCCCGACTTTCCCCGCATCTCATCCCCCCATGTCGTCCCTAGCTAGTGTGGGGCTCACGCGCTGTCAGTGCGTATGGCCGCGCCTTGTCTAGACTCCTCCGTATTCTACCTTGGATCCCGCGCCAAGGACGGGCACGTTGTTCCAGCGGTAGGACACAAACATACCAGCACTTGACGCCTCTCTAGAGGCCCGACCAGACTTCTAGCACGGCCGCACGCCTACTCTGCACCAAACCGATCAAGAGAGCTAACGAGGCCACAAGTATATGTTGTCATTTCCCGCCCTGTGACCTCTTTCGGCTATGCACCGGCTCGTCCTTGTGATTCGCCTCCGCTTCCTGCTCCAACGCCCATCGCCTTCTTCCCACTTCACGCTCGCTTTCCGTGGCTTGTGCTTCGCTCCTGCTCGGGCTTCCTGGGCCTTCCCGACACTCTGCTGTGACTCCGGTTCACCTGATTACTGTAACTCTCCCCGGCGCAGCTAGCTTGCTACGTCCCACTCGGACGACGGACGGCCGTCGGACTACTTTCTGCCGACCTCAGACCTCCACATTCATAGCGGCGCCATTGGGACGCGAGTGCGCTGTCGAATCAGTACAGGACATACAGTATGTGTGCTGGCTGAAGCAGCTGACCGCTTATCATCATCGTTCTGGCTGCTCCTCTCCGCGTTTCTCGCACAGTGCTGGACTGACAAGACCTCCCAGTCACGACGTCGAGTCCTCGTCGCGGCTGGCGGTCCTTTTAGAGCCCTCCACCAAAACCCCTCGTGCCCTTCAGACCGTCTTCGTTGAATACCATCTCCCTCTGTCAGGTCTCTTCGTCCCCCTAGCGACGCACGCCGAATACACTTGTGATCCTTCGAAGCTTGAGGACTTGCAGCACGTAGACGTTGACCGTCCCGCTGCGTGCGACTCCCCATCTCTTCGTCTTCCAATACAGTAACCCCCATCCCCGCAAGCAACGCACGCACCGCACGCCTTTCTGCCGCTCTTGTTCGATCGTTCACCCCATGTCAGAGGTGTCCAGCCCGTGCTCCCAAGCCTACCGTTACGGAGCTCCCGCCTTCGCGCCGTCACCGCCATCCCCGCCATCTTATTATACAGTATGTATTTCGCTGCCGAATGGGCGCTGTAACTCCTAACGCGGTCACGTGGTACGCGTCGCCCACCAACTCAAGAGGGAGTATCACGGCACGAAGATTGGTCTGCGACATGTGAAGTTCAAGCGTGTGCGAAGGGCCATCGATTGAGCTGCAGCGAGGACAGGAGGCGTGTTTGAACGGTTCACGTCTTGGCTTAGCACGGGGACGCTCGTCTGCGCTGACCGAGAGTCAGCGTCGGATTCGGTACTGTAGTTCCGGGACAGCATTCACTTGTTCACAATATTAACTGACCTAAATATTGATCATCCGATATGGTGTAGTGGCTAACATTATCGCCTCTCACGCGATAGCCCGGGGTTCGATTCCCCGTGTCGGAACTCGACTTTTTGCTCAAGTCGTTGGGCGTGCCCCCACCTGCCAAGCTGCCAGATCCCGATTCCATAGCCCCCACTCTCCTAAATTCCGATAGTCTGATGGCCAGCGAGCTCTAACGTTCTCTCCTCCCCGCACTGGCCATGTATCACGTCCAAACACTCCGGTTCCGCATCTCCGGACGCCATCCTCCATGAAATTCAACGTCACCTGCCTACATGAGCGGTGCGGAGGGCGGGTCCTGCTTGCCGCCCGGCAGCGAGCAAACGTCGCTTGCTCCGGTCAAGACGATGCGCGTTCAGCGCCGATGCTGTCTTCCTGGCTCGGCGCAGATCTCGAGGAGGCGCACCCAACCACAGCGACGGAGGCGGAAGAGCCTGGCGCAGCGTGTCACCGCCCACCTGTGCAGATCGGGGAGGACGATGCGCAGCGTGGGCATGAAAGTGGTAACGCAGGAGTCGTGCATGTCTGAGCTATCTGCATGCAGTGTATGCAAGGAGATGCACAAGAAGACGTGGAGAGAGGCAGGGAGAAGGGTGAGAGTGTGCCATGAGAGGCATGAGTATACTGTAGCTATCCCCAACATGCACAGGCGCGCGGTCGTGCTGCCATTCTCCTACCGCTGATCCTGCGGACGACGTGCCCTTCCCTGGTGCATCGTGCAAACTCGCGACCTATGTCCCGGCTCAACCGGGCTGTCTGAGTGAACTCAGGATTCGAAACGAAAGCGTCCGATAGCATATGCAGAATGATGGTTGTTGTACGGTACAGACGGGAGATGATGGTTGCAGCCTGAGGGTCGTGCGCGATGTGCATGTTGGTTGGGCCGTCGGTCTGACGGGCCATGGTCAGAAAGCGGCTATCTGGACAGCGAGTGGTTAAACGCACGGCATCCTGCGCTTTACAGGGCTTGCAAGACATTCGACACACCTGCAGAGAGGTCTTGAGCGGGAAGACCCCGTCGCGCTATGATTTGGCCGAGCGGTTCTTCAGCACAGCTTGTGCGGCCTCCGCGAGGGAGACCTCTTTCTGCTCATCCTACGCGCGAGCGTTGAGCACCTTATGAACACACACACGCTTCTCATGCCAGAACATCCAGAAAGGAACTCCGACGGTACGGGACATACCTCCTTAACGGGCGGACTCTGGCCCAACGCCTCCTGCCTCGCCAGAGCCTACACGGATACAAGCGTAAGTCCCACGGGCTCCCCAAGTCCAACGGTCATGCAGGACTGACCTCTGTTCGCGCAAGAACGGCTCTCAGTCGCAAGGTAGGGTGGGAGAAGGGGAGGGGTTGGACGCGAAGGGCTGGACGGAGTCACGCACCTCTGCCGGCGCGCATCGTCTCGCGGTGTACGACGCCGATCATGACGATGCCCCAGACGCTCACTCCGAGCAGGGACCAGACGACTCCGCGGTGAAGTATGTCGCCGATGGTCAGACGCGGCCGAGTAGCCATGGTGGGTGTCGGGACGAAGCCGTTCTGCACTCGAAGATGCGGCGGCAGCGGTCAAGTATCAGGAGGAACGGAAACGGTGAAATCTTGGTATCCAGCGTGATCCTGGCCTGGGGTGGGCGCTTCGCATGGCACGATGGCCGAGCGGTCTAAAGCGCCAGACTGGAGATCTGGTCCTCGCGGGCGTGGGTTCGAATCATATAGAGCTTTTTCACCGCGCTGAGTAAGACCGCACATCGCAAAACGTGGAGTTCATACAGTATGTATACCACTGGCTGGGCGGATGAGGATCGTATGTAACTTACGATGCCGGACTGCACAAGTCTGTGCCTTATGCGTATGCATTTATCCGAGACGTTCAGCTGACTCACTTCCTCGATGTTGGCGCCATTTCGCCTCGACGTCGCTCCATTTGGATGCTTGTGAGGTGGTGTTGGCGCGGTGCCACATCGCACACAGGACCAAACAAGGCCGCGCAGCCTCTTATCTTGCGGGATAGTCAAACACCCCCTTCCTTTCAACGACGACGACGACGATGACTCGCCTTCTCTACGTTACCCTTCTCGCCGTCTCGTTGGTGTCGGCGACGCCGCTCTCTACTCATCATGAGACCACCCGCCAGCGTGCGGGCTTCACGCTGGCGCCCCTCATCGCTGAGGAGCACCCGCACGGGACCGTCAACAACTCCTACATTGTCATGCTCAAGGACGGCATCGAGCCTGCGCTCATGCAGAACCACATGAACTTCCTCGAGACTCTTCATGCGAGCGACCCGCTCTCGCATCTGTTCGACGGTCTCACGCACGTTTATGACGCGCACGTGAAGGGCTATGCTGGCAAGTTCAGCGAGGCGACTATCGAGCAGCTGAGGACGTTGCCCGAGGTCGAGTACGTGGAGAAGGACCAGATCGTCCGCACGCTCGAGGTCGAGCGGATAGAGGTCGAGAAGCATGCCACGCAGACGCAGGCGCCTTGGGTGAGTCATCGTATCTGGTACTCGTACAACTCTCTTGGTGCTCTACGTGAGCTGTACCAGGCGCCATGCGGCGCACATATGTGCCCGCAGCCCGAAGTACTTAGACGTGGGCGGTTACGCTGGTGGGGCGATGGTGACTGCTGCGGTACGCAGACGCGCTCACGAGTCACGCGATCGTTCACAGTCGTCAGACTTATCCCTTATATCCACTTGCGTCCCGAATCGATCTGCAGTACTGAACATGTCTTCCCTCTAGGGTCTGGCTCGTATCAGCCACCGTGAGAAGCTCACTTTCGGCACTTTTACCAAGTACGAGTACGATACGCAAGGCGGCGAAGGCGTAGACGTCTACGTCATCGACACTGGAATCAACGTGGACCACGTTGAGTTCGAGGGTCGTGCCTCTTGGGGTAAGACCATCCCCGCCAACGAAGTCGATGAGGACGGTAACGGCCACGGAACTCACTGTGCTGGTACTATCGCGTCCCGTCAATACGGTGTCGCCAAGGCCGCACACGTCATTGCAGTCAAAGTGCTTGGTAGCAACGGTAGCGGCACCATGAGCGATGTCGTCGGTGGTGTCGCCTGGGCTGCGCAGCAGGCGCAGAACAAGGCCAAGGCTGCTCTTGAGGAGTTCCGCAAGACTGGCAAGACTTCGCACAAGGGTTCCGTTGCCAACATGTCGCTCGGTGGCGGCAAGTCTCGTGCGCTCGATGACACCGTCAACAAGGCCGTTGATGCTGGCGTGCACTTCGCTGTTGCGGCTGGTAACGATAATCGCGACGCGTGCAACAACTCTCCTGCCGCCGCTGAGAAGGCGGTCACCGTCGGTGCTTCGACCCTAGGTGACGAGCGTGCCTACTTCTCGAACCATGGTCCTTGCGTGGATGTCTTTGCGCCGGGTGCGTACCATCCCATTATACGGTTGCATCGTCGTTGCTGATGTGCGAGCAGGTCTGAACATTCTGTCGACTTACATTGGCAGCAACACCTCGAGGACGACGATGTCCGGCACGTCGATGGCCTCTCCCCACACTGCTGGCCTCTTGGCCTACCTTCTCTCACTCTACCCTTCCTCCACCTTCGATCCTAAGGTTACGCCCGACCTCGTCCCCGCCGTGATGCAGACTCAGGCCTTCTCGTCGTCGTCGCTTGCCGGAGTCTACTCCTTCGCGTGGTCGGCTATGCCATCATGGATGACCACGTTTTTGCCTCACCCCCAGCTCGTGGAGGAGGTCGTAGCGCCTGTCCCTGGCACGCCCAAGACGCTCACCCCTAAGCAGCTCAAGCTCGCACTGCTTGCTCTCGCTACGGAGGGTGCTCTCGACGATCTGCCAACGGGCACGCCCAACCTTCTCATCTTCAACAACGCGACCTCGCCACTCTGAGCGCCGTCGGTCCGTCGTTGAGTGGGAGGGCGCGGAGGTACACGGTTTGTCTCGCTCGTTCGCTCACGCGCTTCTTGGGACCGTCTCGTTGTGCTATCGTGTAATCTTCCATTGTCACATAGCTTCTCCCTTGCATTTTCGCGCTCTGCGTTGTACAGTATATAGCATCAATGATGGATGGATTATGGTCGGCGTAACAGGATTGTCACCGAGCGGTCGTTGAAAGACTATGTGAGACAAAGACACTACGCCTGAGAACGACATGCCGTGTGGAAGGTCCAGGCTAGTCTCTGTCGCTGACCTGAAGAGTGAGGACGTCGTCGTTTGTAGCAGTTCAGACTGTGCTTCTTGCCCCGGAGTTGTATCATTGAACAGACTCAGACCTGTCATGTCGTATACTATAGATCGTTCGAGAGCAGTGAACTTCTCCTCGTCATTGAGATCGGAGCTGCATCTTGATGGCGGAAACTGCTCTTCGCCGGTCAAGCCGCCTCTTCGACCTGACTTGACCTGCAAGGATTGAGCAGCCTACATTCATTTGTATCTTCGAGTTCTTCTAATCGTCGGCGGCGGGCGCCAGTTGCAATCTGCCTCATCAGCTTCACTGATTTACTCGAGCTGCGTTGGACTGTCCATAATATCCGGTTATGTGACTCGCGTCTTTCCATGTGAAGAGCTCGCCTCGGACATCTTCAATTGCTTCGACCCCGGGCCCTTGGATGTGTCTCATAGCATCCAATATGGGAGGCACAGGAGAGAACGGCAACATACTCTGACCTGCGACGCAGCAGTCTCTCGCGCGTGGTCCGGGTCCTGCGCTCGATGTGCTCTGGAGAGTCGTAGACGAGGTGGAAGACTTGCTATCCGTCCTACCCTCGTGCACATGCATAGAGGGAAGATATGTGAGTCTTGTCTCTCATGTACGGCCGATGCACGGTTCAATTGGCTGATAAATTTACGGAACAGGCATTCGAGCACGATATCATTCCTGTCGATTGGGAGCGCTCCCAGCAATACGCCACCCGCGTGCGCGAACTGCACCTGGACAAGCTGGTGAATAGTCCGGAGAATCCTGACGTGGACGTCGTCAGAGAGGTCATCTCTCCGACGGTGTGAGGAATATTGCAGAAATGATGCTCTCGAGGGACCGTTTTGTCCCCATCTGCGGCGGCTCTGTGGCTTCGATCTGTCTTATTCGAATCCCCGGCCTGCTCATTCTTGTATCTCCGACCCTGCGGGACTTGGAACTCAAGATTGAGATGGCCAAGTACTCTGCGGACAACGTGGCGCTCAACGGCCTCTTTTTGCTCTTGCAGCCGACCCTCCCTGCGCGCCGAGTCCATACTCTCAGAATCCCTCACAATGCAAACCTCTGTATGCGAGAAGAGCACCTCGCGGACCCATTGGATGGCTATCTCTTCTTCCCTCTGAAGCAGTTGCGCGCGCTCAAACATCTGGAGTTCAGCGACGCTGGGACGGCGGTGACGCATCTCTCCTGTCTACGTTGGAAGACATGCGCCTGCACTCGTTGCACATCAGCATTGAAAGGGATCGATGCGAGCATCTCCCCGGATGATCACAAGGGTTTCCATGAGATGCTCTGCGAGCTGCACTTGAGAGGCGTTCCGAGCGCGGTCGTGCTTTTCGTAGACTGCATCGCAGCGCCCTCGCTGGAGTCGCTGGTATTGACGTTCAGGAACGTCCGTTCCATTTCCACGAGCCAGGTTGCCCCGCACTTCGAACGCATCGCGTCCCGCGTGTCGTCGTCCCTATCGCGACTCACCTTGATCCTCTCCGACAACCACCGTAGTGACTGCACAGTCCAGCGCGAGGGAGCTTATCGCGCCGCTGCCTCCGAAAGCCCACTTTTTGAAGATCATCATCAACTTCGACCACGCTCTCCTCACTTGGACCCACGAAGATGTGGAGCAGCGTATGCGGCGTGGCCGCGCCTGGTCACGTTCCGTCTCGAGCAAGCCTACATGCAATCAAGCATTATAGTGCCCTCGAGTGCCCCTCCGTTGCAGGATGTCATTGATTTTGCAAGGCGTCATCCAAGGCTCTGGCATCTACAGTAGGGCTGCTATATTTCAGCCTGACCTACCTTCCTCCGCTGCACGAGATACCACGGCTCGACCACGGCTTGGAGACACTTCGTATCTCTAGCGTTTCCAGAACCCTGGAGTACGGGATGTTGTTCCAGTGTGTGCTGCTGCTCGACAGACTCTTCCCAAACCTGGACCTTTCAGCAGCATTTCTTGACTTGGCGCACGCGAACTGGAACGAGCGATCTTGAGAGCGGATCGAGAGCATCCTCGCTGCGATGCAGACGCGGAGGACTGCCTCTCTTCGTTCCTGACAGTGGGCTTCACGTGAAGGCTCTCAAGAGCAGGTCCCTCAGGGTCTGTAGAACCACTGTACAACATCTCTCCAGCAGCCGACAGTCGGAAGAGACTCCTTCGGAGACAGTCACTGTCAAAGAGTAAGCTCCCGGCGCTGTATAGTGTGTGGTGTATCAGCTCTGTGCAGCTGATTGACGAAATCTGTAGCTGCACTGGCAACCAAGTAGAGGATCTGACCTGTCACATATGATACCCAAGCATGAGGCGGACAGCAAGTCGTTCATTCCGTCGGACCCAGAGGCACGACCGACTCGACTTGACGTGCGGCATATCCGAGATAATCCCCATCGTGGTAGATATTGCTGATTCCCTTTTTCCTCCTTTACCCCGAGCCCACGGGAAGCCCGTCTCCCGGCTGGCGTCTCTTCCAACAATGTTGCCTGTCCATATCAGTAGACTTGGCCTTCCTGAGCGCCGCCGTCCGGACCGTGAACGCACAGCCC